CGCGAATCACACAATGCCAAAGTCGGATACACGAATCACACAACGCCAAAGTCGGCTACACAAATCACACAACGCCATTGACCTCAGTCAAAAAGACAAATTCATAGCAACGTTATTTATTACTTAGATCTCTATTAATAATTTCCTCTAAAGTTCTTCGAAATTTCCTCTACTGTTTTTTCCCGGACTAAAGGTCATGCCATCCAAAACGTATGTGCATACACTTTAATTTAGTGAACAGGACAAAATAAATAAAATGTCAAAACAACTTATTAACATGAATAAATGACCATGATCAGTAAACATCTCAGAAACCAAAGAATCAAAGGAAAAACATTCAGAAACAATATAACGCTTAGCCTAGCTCCGAAGTAGTAAAAATTCAACTCCGAAACACAAAAGGTTTTGGAAGATTTAGTTGGAAAAAAAACAATCACAGCAATAACAAAATCCAGTACCGCTATCCAAAACTTTCCACTTGAATTCCCTATTTTAAGGCCTGCGAATCTTAACTTGAAAAGGAAAAAGCACTAGCGTGACTGGAACGAATCGTACGTCCCTTATTCAAATTCAAAACGACAGAACTTTACTTGCGAATATCTCGTGAAAGAAAAGATCAGAACGTTAAAAATTCATTACCGGGAAGAGGTGTCGATGATCGTGATAGGCACGCGCTCGGGATATAGATCTTCAGGCAACCTCGTGGGAGGTAACACCGGCGGAACATTCACCGGAAAGTTATCAGCGGCGGCAGTAATAATGAGGCTTGATTTTCCGGTGCCCTGGTGTCCGGCGACGACAATACGAACTCCGGTGCGGCCGTGAGGATTGACGGTTCCAGAAGAAGCTTTAGCCATGGAAACTAGAAGTGAAAGCGAAAAGTGTAAAAGTGAAAATTGGAATTTGAATGGAGCGAGTGAGGTGAGATTGCGTTGGAGTGAAAGTAGGTGTGTGGCGAAAAGGTAGGAAGAAGAACGAAGAGTAAAAACCCTAACTATAGCGGTGTACCTTAGACGGTGGCCGTCAGTGACTTTCACTTCCGCGGTTAATATTTGTAGCACCGTTACTTGTCTTGCACCTCACACAATTCGCCCTTCCAATAAACGACTGTCGTCTAAGGACCATAAGCTTTTAGTTGTTTCTACGCTAACTCTCTCTGCCCTCCCTCTTTACCTTCTCGATTACAGGCTTCTGCAAACTAAAAAACACATGTAAAATAAATAATAATAATTTATTTATTATTAATTTTAAGTTCATTATATTTATAAATTACTTTCATTTAAATTAAAAGTAGATAAAATTTATTTTATCAGTTTACATATTTATAAAAGAACTCAATCTACAGGTATTATATACATGTACGAGTATACACTAATATTGATAAGTTCAACTCTTAAAATTAATTTTAAATATTTAAAAATAGTAAAATTTTATTAAAAATAAAATATTTATTAATTTTTATTTTTAATACAAATAAATAATTTTTTAATAAAATTTTATTACTTTTAATAATTTAACTTTAATTTTTTAAAATTAATATATACATATATTATTATTATATCTACATACTCAGCTACTCTTAAATTCATTCTTTTTTTTTCGTACATTGAATTAGATTAATCTTTTATCATGTTTCTTAACTATTTTTATTATATTATTTATTATGTCTCATTTTTTCACTCGTTTAAAAAGTAAGTGTGAAATCATCTATTTCCATACCCAAAATAAAATACTTCATTTTTCCTAAAACCCAAAAAATTACACACACAAAAATCAAGTGATGTTATTCACAACTTATAACCTTATATTTATACAAATTTATAACATTTAATTTAAATTGATTTCGCCCATTTCCCTATATATGTCTTATGATTTTGTTACCTTATTATTATGCTGTAAGTGATATATACCTTGTAAATTTATTGATTTATGTATAATATATTTATTTTTTTAATAAGAACTTCTTTTCTATTAAACTATATGTCATTCATTTAAAAATGTTTCAAAAACAATATTTTCCTTTTTTTAATTTAAATTTTAAATCTTGATACATTATATCAAATTTAAATTTTATATAAAATAGAATTTATTATTATTTTAAACTTTATTTATTTATTTTTAAAATCTAACACATTGTATCATAATATGCCTTGATTTACATAATTTATTTTAGAATTTTTTTCAATTTCAAAATTTTATCCCCATAATTTACTCTTATTAATATAATAAAATGTTTATTATTAATAATTAAAAGTCTATTATTAACTATCAACTACATAGATTAATTGGTAAAGAGAGTTGTTGCAACTTAACTTATCATTTCAATTCACAATAATTATACTCAACTTAAACAGATTTGTCACTTAATAGAGCTAAAATCATATTTCTATGTATTAAAAAGTGTAGAGTCTATTACTTTTATTTATTTATTTTTATAAAAAAATTTATTGTTTTTAAATACTCTCTCACAATTATTTATTTAATTAATTATGATAAATTTATTTTTAATTTTAAAACGTCTTTTAATCTTTTTCTATCCATCACAATATCATATATATAACTATAACGTATGTACTTCTTCTTTTTTTGTTTGCTACTAATGTATATACTTTTTGATATTTATATGTTTTTAATATAATATTATATATGTAAATTATATTTTGGTTGAAATATATATCATAATTGGTCTAATTTTTATTAATTTATTACGTTTTATTAGTTTTATAATTATGTAAAATTTTATTTTTTATGTTTTCAATTTTTATAATATATTTTAATATTTAATATTTATTTTAAAATAAAATACATGTGCATTGTACAAACTATTAACTAACTATAGTCATAAATTATTTATTTATTTTAGTTTTTTATAAGCAGTTTAAAAATATTTACTTTGCTTGATTCATGGTCGAGTATTAAATATGGATATTTGAGTTGCTACTTTGTAAGATTTAATCATTTTCATTGGGCCAGTTTCTTATCAGTAATTACAACCTATGTGATAAATTAAATTAAAAATTAAACAATATTTTATGGATATTAATTAAAAATATAAAATGATCTTGAAAAATTTATTCATAAAATATATATTTATTATGTAAGAAAAAACTATATAAATAATATAATATTTTGTTTCTGTTTATGAATATACCATACTATGCAATTGATAGTCGGTTTACCTACCTTTAAAAATAATTTGAAGTGTTAAAAAGATACATGTAACACTACTTAATTAATAAGCAAATTCCCAAATGTGATTAACGCTAAGCAAATTAATTTAATAATATGATTTTTTTTAGTAATAAGAAAACTTACGGCTTAAACACAATCAATTTACATAGCACAGACTTTAAGAAAAAACTTATGATTAAAGTCACACCAATATGATTGCAACACAACAAATACAACCTATGACAATTACAAACATAAACAAAAATGCGAAGTGTTAAGTTTGTCGAAAAAACTTGTTAAAAAGTAAGTTTATGCACCTTAATTATGTCTATTATTATTAGTTTGTAGTGTTTTTCCGTTACTAATCACGGGAGATTAACATTAGAAATACCAATTTGTAATTAAAGTGGACGATATTAGTAGTTTAGCTAACTTGAAATAAGTTTAACGAGGTTGAAGAAAATACATTATTCTTATCTAAGAATTAGAATCTATTTTTTGTATTTGCTTTATCTTCCACAGGCATGCAACTAACCGTAAGGGAGAAGAAGATTTGTCTTTATGGCTAAATAACTTTTAATGTCCTTTTTCTTTAACAATAATTGGATTATGGTTCAAGAGATAGTAAAATGACACTTACATCGATGTAATGGTTAAAAACAATTGTTTCCAAACGACCAATTCAACTTCAATAAATAAATATCACAAAATATTGTATATTTACTCAAAATACATGCAAAACAAAACCTTATATTTACATTTTTTTAAAAATAATTAGCAACTAGCTACAAAAATCTCTTATTTTTTTTATTTTTTTCTCTCACCGTCTTTTAATTTTACTAGTTTTATCTTTGAAAAAAAAAACTACTAAAAGTATGTTTGTTTCCATTTAAAAAAAAATTAAAAAGAAAAAAATCTTTTTAAAAATGGAAACAAAAATATGTTATAACTCTAACTCTCTCATTCCCTCTCCTCAAGTGTGGACTTTTTTTTTTTTAATCATCTAGGATGACTTTTATATTTAATTTGTGGAGCTTCTTATTCATATATCATAGTTTTTTGATTGAAAAATGTTTTGTTCTCTTTTTATTAACTTGATCTCCTTTCCTTTTATCTTTTACTATTTATCTTTCCTTCGTTATTCTCTTATTATATTTGCTTTTGTTCTTTTTAGTATTTGAACTCATCAAAACTACTTTCATGTTACTAGAGTTTTCTTACGCTACATTGTCAAATTTATTTTAATTGTCTTAGACAGTTGTTTCAACAACTTCTGTTAATGAATGATTATTCATGCTAATTTAGAAAAAATATTTGTAGTTATTTTTTTTTTATAAAAATGTGAGATTTATTTAAAATTTTATTATATATCATATTTAAAATATTAGTAAATTATGTTTAAGATTAAATATACATGCTTGATCTTTTACTATATTAGTTTTATAAATTATTATAATCCTCTTAATATTTAACGTAAAAAACGTAAGCACTACTAAATTTTTTATCTATAAATAGTTGGTCAAAAGAAAAAAGAATATATAATTATTTTTTTTAAAGTTTACATGTTGATAGAATATATTTTAAATAAAATGAATTAAATATTAAGAATATATTGTTTAAGTATAGACTGTTAGATTATGTGATGTTTATATTTACGTAAGTATGCAAACTATGTTTCCGTGTAAAGCACGGGACTTGAGAACTAGTAATACTACAAATTATGATACGATGATATGAGAAAGAATGAACGTGGATGTGGTGATTTGACGATGAGTTAAAGATTTAAAGGAAGCAAAGGAAGAAAGGGAAGGTATTGAAAATCGATAAAAATGATGTCAGGAAATTACACCTCTCTCGATAACCAAAAGGTTTCAGGATCTGTACCCGTGAGTCATTAATCTCTCTCTCATTTCATTTTCATTTTCATTTTCGTTTTCATTTTCATTCTGATTTTGCTGCAGGCAGTTCCAGATCCCCCAACTGTCACCGTCAAATTTGCAGGTCCAATTATTCATTCTCATTAATTTCTATTTTCAATGTTTCTTTTATTTTTGGTGTTAAGAATTGATTCTATTTGTTTTAATCTGTGTAGATTCAAATCTTCAGACATTTCCTCCGTCTGGAACACAGGCCAAGATTATTGGAGGTTCGAGGCCTCCACGTGATGTTGATGGTACGTGAATGTGATGATCGCGTTGATTTCTTATCTATATTACTATTGTCCCTTTTTGTTATGCTTTAATTAGTAATTACGTGCATTGCAAGTTTGAATAGCGTTGTAAGAATTGTGTAATTGTTTTGTTTGGTTGATGTAGAAACATTTTCAAGATCGTCCTTATCTGCTTCAGATGAACCCCAGCAGAGTGGTTGGTTTAGTGCTTTCTCACCTGCTACTTACAAGCCATATTTTGATGTTGACACTTCGGATGTTCTAGAGAGGATTAAAGACTCCCTCTATCCATTCAGAGGAACTTTCAAAGAAAAAACTGCTTCCAACCCTGATTTGTAAGTACACTTCATTCTCTCTAATTGTTGCTCATTTATGCTACTGATTCTATAGTTGCTTGCATTGCATCATCTTGGTACTGCTTTTGTTTCGTGTATGAATGAGATGACTTTGTATAACCAGTAGCCTTTGTCTACTAATAGAAGGAGTGAACTTAATGTTTAGGATTGGCAGTGGTCAATTATATTTGCTTGTGATTTGTGATGTAGAGGGGCACTCCCTGGTCAGAGTTTGAATAGGAGTTTCATGTTTTCATACCTAGCTGATACTGGATTTGTGCTACTTAGGGATAGATCCAGGGGGGAAAAATATTTTTTTACAGTGTAGATGTTTAGATTTTTTTTATTATAAAAAATATTTGTAATTATACAATTTAATAATATAATTATGCATATTTATAGGGCCAACACAAATAGTAGAGAGTTAGGTTCTTTAATCATATCTACTGTATGGGAGGTTGTAATCAAATAGACATAATAATACAAAGAAAAATTCATGTAAAAGAAACTAAGAGAAAGAGAATTAAAACTTTCTCTCAATATTTCATTAACTTCGATTCCATATTACATGGTACAAGAAGAGGTCTTTTTATAGGCTTTATAAACTAATATAATATTATATTTAAGAAACCCATATATGAAGGAAGAGAAAGTAGTTTAGCAATTTGTTGCTTTGTCAACGTGCAGCCTTTTCCTTTTGACCATTACAATTTGTGGACTATAATTTCCAATATTTCTAGGTTTGTAAAATTATGTGCAACAATATGGCTTTGTAGGCACCTATAATTATAATGTTGTTGCCTTTGAGAAACGCTAATAAGAATTCAGTGCTTTAACATGCCAATTAATTTGCGGTGTACTTAATTTATTTCTGACAGAAGTCATTTATTTTGGTAATATATCTGTTTTAAAAGAGATTAGTCTCCGATAGCTTAAGATATTTTCTACTATATGGGAGGTCATATTTATTTTGGTAATATATCTGTTTTTAAAGAGATTAGTCTCCTATACCTTAGCGCTACTACGTCAACCATTTTTTGTTGAGAAAATTGGTCTACATGCAAAATTGTGGGAATTCAAATGTGAGTTCCGAGTGAATATGTGGATAAAAGAAGCATGACATTGCACAGGAATGGACAAAGTGATGACTTTATAAAGGAATGACTCATGGTGTGGAATGCATTCCATCTCATCCTATTTTAAGCAATCCAAACTTCTAGTACCATTTCATTTCATTCCTTTGTATTCCATCTATCCAAATATAGCTTTAAGGATTTAGGTTAAGACATGATGTCAACTCTACATTGTGGTTTCCTCTCTAAGTTTCATGAATCAGATCTCCTTGTGGTTTCTTCTTTGAATTTATTGAAGCAAATATCCTCAATATTTTGTCTCCCAAAGTCTTTACACAATGATTCTAGTTCACCCCCTTTTATCCTACTTGGTTGATGTTGTTTCCTTTGTAATAGTTTGTGCTCCACTTAATTGTGTGCTGGTTTTGTTTCATTTCACATGTTACTTCGTTGCAGTATCTTCGGTGGCTTGATTTTCATATTACCCAAGTACCAGTGTCCCATGTAGAGGAATCTGCTTGTTTTTGAATTTTATCAGAAAGTACTTATTATTTTGCCATAAAAGGTATTTTTTTGTGTGGCAGCGCATAATTTATATTTCACTTTAAATGTGCATAGGTATGGACCATTCTGGATTTGCACTACCTTAATATTTGTAGCAGCATCTATTGGCACTTTTGTGACATATATAGCTCACAAGCTGAAGAATCAGGAATGGAACTATGACATAAACATGGTGACTTGGTCTGCTGGCTTGTTCTACGGTTATGTCACCATTGTTCCTCTTTGTTTATATGTAATCTTGAAATACTTCTCTGTACCATCGGGTCTTGTTCAACTATTTTGTCTCTATGGATATTCCCTGTTTGTCTTTATTCCTGCTCTGGTAAGTTACTGCTCTTAAAATTCTCTCTTTTTCAAGAAAGTATAGAATTTAACATTTTTCTTGGTATCATCCAAACTCTTTGTTTGGTGCAGTGTATGTCTGTTGTGCCATGGGAGATAGTCAGATGGTTGGTTGCAGGTGTGGCTGGGTTCATGTCAGCAACATTTGTGGCACTTAACCTCCGAGCACATATTATGTCAGCAGGTGAAAGGTGGGTATTGATTGTTGCCGGCATTTTTCTATTGCAGCTGGCTCTAGCTCTTGCACTAAAGATCTACCTCTTCACAGTATCAGTATGAGAGGAAAGTGGTATTATCATAATTCAGCATCAGTGAAATGTAGATAACGAAGAGAGAGCCTTTTTGTTTTAAATTTTCCAGTGACATAATTTGTAGCTGAAATGTTATTATCAGATTAAATTGTCATTTATTCATTCATGGCAATATAGAGGAGAATAAAAATTGTTTGGTTGATAAATAACTAATTACAATTATTTCAGTTGTTTGTTATATTATATCTCTAACATGCTGATCATGAAAGAACCCTTCAGGGTATAAATGTGGATACAAGCCTACCGAGAAAAATTTGTATATCAAAGTAGTAGCATAAAGTATTCTGTAATGAATTGCATTGTGAATTCCACATGTTTTGAAAGTGGACCGAAAAGAGACTTCTCCATTCTTTACACCAAGGTTCTGCTACTTAGGTCAAACTTATTTTACATTATAGACACGAAATATGATTAAAAAAATAAGAACGCAAGGCCATCGACCTAGTCAGCAATGTAGAAACAAAGTTAATATGGATTTAGATACACGCTGACCAATGTGTATAAGGGGCTGACATGAGAAACTAACTTACTACAAGAAAACATAGGCTGCATTTTGGCTGAATAAGTGGCTTAAGCAAAAATCAAACTAGTTGGCGGTGAAATATGATGATTGGCCACAAGATATCTGCATCAGATCTTCTTTCATATATTCAATCTGCCCAAGTAATGAAGCTGAATAACTTGTACAATATAAACATCTAGCATGGATGGAAACCTGTGTTTGGACCTTCAGTCTTTAATAAGCATAGTCCATTTCTCGATTTAGTATAAAATGAATTCATGGAGATTGAGTCAAGTAAATTACATTTACTTGACTTAAGTGACCATTGTAAATTGCTTATGATGCTCAAATGTCTCCGAGCAGGTTTTTGGAATAAATCTGGATATTGAAGATGTCTATTGTCTCATAATTCTCATAATCAAAACAAACAACTATATTCTTAAAATACTAGTTCAGCTGTGATGGTTGGATTAATTGAGAAAGGGGACAGAGTGATGGAATACGGAGTGACCAGAGTAAAAACAGAAGAGAAAACTGATGCATGGGCAAGAACCTACCTCATTACTCAGCCTTCACAATGTATATGACTTCATCTGACGGCACTCCTTTCTTTTATACGTATTGCTCTTTAGATGGTATGTTGTGCTTAGAGACACACCTTCATTAATTTCGTCTCGCTAAAGTGTTGTATCTATTAGTCCTCCCTTTCTCTATTCTCTTCGTCTTGGTTCTCTTCCCATGCCTATTTGAAACCCTCCCCCAAAAAGCAAAACAAAACAAAACTTTAATTTTGGATATTCTTCGCTTGTTAACATTTGCATGCAGTTCAAATTATATCAAGAAAAATTAAGTTATATAGCTTAAACATACTAGCTAATGAGTACTTAAAATATTATATATATAATTTATAAGATATTTTTATTTTTTAAAATTCTTCAACTAATATATTAAAAATACTCAACAAAATTTATCTCATCCATATGTGTATGTTTGTTCAACAAAAGCAATACTAAGTCAAATCAATTAAAAAGAAATTCAAAGATAATAGATTGAAAATTGTGAGATATGTAACAGTGAGGAAGTACAAAAAATCATAAGATATTGAAATAAGACAAGCTAGATTGATAAACTTGACATAATCATAGATATCGAAGTTCAATTTAAAAGCTAGTATTCCTTTTTGGCTATGTTTAAATTGATGAGAGGAGATTAAGTGGAATGAAATAGATTAAAATGAAATGAAACATAATGTAAGAAATATTTCATTCCATTTATTTGAATATATTATGGAGGAATAGAACAAAACTTTCATTTTATTGTTTGAATAGTTCAATATTAAAAAAAACAAAATTAAAAAGAAAAGAAATTTGTCTATAAACATCCACCTTTTTCTCGCAAAAATACTTATACAGTTCTAAGCATTCATGTAACCATGTACAACAAATTTCAGATTCTTGATCTAGTGAAGGTGAAAACGAGGTCAAGTTGCCTGATCCGTAGGTAGTAACCCTTGGAAATTACAAGAGTGGAAGTGCATCGCAAGTGTTTAATTTTTGTGTGCTGGTTATGGAAATTATCCACGTGGCTTGCGTTTTATATTGTTGACCCAATGACACGGACTAAGGCTAATTAGCCTTGAATATGCGTAAACTTGCCTTGCTTGAAAGTTGCAATATCATATGTGGTTTCCCTGCTATAGTAGTAATGAAGGGGCTTGAGCGTCTTCCTCTTAGTAATCTCCCATTACCCTATAATTTTTTACCTTGGCTGTGAGAATTATCGTATATTGACCGAGTTATGACCAAAAGTCATATGAAGCTATCACTCTCCTTATGATTCTGTAAAAATTTGAAATATTCGTCCTCCACAAGTTTCACACTTCCTCAGAAGATTGTGCTATTAGATTCATATAACATGCTTCGATTTTAGATCATTAAAACTCTAGCAATGAAATGCTTCTTAGAAAATGATTCTGTTCAGCAAAGAGAGTTTCTTTAAGTAATTGTAATTTTGAATGTCGTTATATAACATCAAAGATCAAAGCAGTATAGTTAACAATGCAAAAATATCATCCTTGTGGTTGAATATGATCAAGAAAACTTGAATTGCTACGGCAAATCCTTGCCAGCACAAATGAATAAAAAAGGGCCAATAAGAGGTTCTGAACAAAAGAAAAAAATTTAAATATTTGTTTCGACCGTAGAACAATTCAGATGAAAAAACATGCAAGTCAGTCAACAGCGTTAAACCTATCACCATAGCTTATAAGGGGACCCTGTAAAGAACCAGCCAGTGAAACCCCACACAGTCCCTCCCAACTACAATAGTGGGTTGAGTACTCTAGTCCCTATTTTCCAGATCGCATTCCTCTTTCCAATGAAATTTGTAATTGAGGTTAATATATGAGCAGCTCGATTAAATTGAACATGTTTCAATGCCCTGCAAGACAAACCAATACAGACTTCAGAATTCTAATCTAATCCCATGACCCAGATTTTCCTTGCCACTGTTATTTGCACTCAAGTTGAACTTTGGCAATTCATATTTCATAGGATTCGACAACAGTAAGCAAATTATTCCAGTATCCCCTAAACGTCCCAACAAGGGGCAGATTATATCGAACCAAACAATAACATCTATTCTAAGTAACCCAACTATAGTAGGAAAGCAACGAAAATAAACGCAATCCGACATTTTTATATCACAGATTTGAGTTCTAGCCTTTCAAGTAGAAGTAGGACATGTGATCCATAGTGCTAACCTTTTTGCAATGAATAAAATAACAGTGAAAAAAACACAGTTTTTAGATTAATGAATTACAGAATATGCCGAAGTGTGTCCTTTCCCCAAAAATCAAAATCGTGCATGCTCCTCAGTATCATTTTACTATTTAGTCATAAAAGTGTGAGGGTGGGGGCATTGTAAACAGGGTAAAGTGGAGAATAGCATGGGTCATCATAACCTACAACTCTGAACAGACTTTCATAAATATCATTTGACTTAAAAAAATGCAATTAGGCCTTTGATTTCTTCCCTTTGGCTTCACTAGCTGGTTGGTTCTTGAAAGGCAGGAAAGTCTTTCCACCCATGAATGGCCTGAGGACTTCTGGTATCTCTACCCCATCTTCTTTCTGGTAGTTCTCTAGTATGCAGCAAATGGTCCTCTCAGTAGCTGTGAGAGTAGAGTTCAACAAGTGAACATATTGCTTCATCTGCTCATTGCTCTGCAACAGTTGATAATATGCACAGTCCAGTTAAATCTATGAAAGTAATTCAAGCATAGGGGTACAATAAATTAACGCCAAAATAAAATATTACTCATTTCAAAATCTCAACAAAACATTTTGAGCTATTAAAAGTTTAATCATGGAATATCTTGGGGGCCCTTAGCACAAGTAAGCACAATCATCATTTATGGTTTCAACAACAACCAATCAAACCTTATCCCACTAGGTGAGGTCGGTTATATCCATCATATGATGCCATTGAGTTTGGGCAAATATCATTGTGATTGATACATATTTTTGGTTTCGACAAGTTTTAAAAGACCTAATACAACTCTCCTCCTTTACTCAGGGTTTCCACAATCATCATTTATGATTATTCTCAAAATACTTAACAATGATAAAATTTACTCTCCTGCCTACTAAAATTACAATGAAATACTATACTCATGAGAAAAGTAAGAAGTTAGAATTTCAATGTAGAGTTGATTTCATAAATTCAGATAAAGAGATTTTGACATAACTGAGGCAAGGTCTCATTTTTAAAATTGGAAATAAAAAATCTTCATTAAAAAGTTATTGAATAATGCTAATAAAAGCCATCATCAATATTTTGAAATTAGGCATTACTGACCTTCTTTTGTCCATATCGAATTTCTAATCTTCTAGCTTGGTAATCTGTACAGTTTGAACAGGACACTAGCTCTCTGTATGCTTGAGAGGCTGGAAACCATGCTTCTAGATCATACTTCTTTGCTGCAGCATCATTCAAAGCACCAGACACAATGGAAACAACTTGATATGGAATGTTTAGCTGCAGTAAATAAAATAAAGTTACAAGAGATATGGAAAAAATGAGACAGAAAGCAGTCAATTTAGGTCGGAACAACCAATAAACCAATCTACAAGCAACATCCACAAAAAATAGAACGAGGTAACAGCAAATTGTCTCACTTGGCTAATAGAGTACAAAGAATCATCACAAGCATACAATGAAGTAGATATAAAAAATTTACAAAGACTTAGGGATGCACTAAACTTTTCCCCGGTTATATTTGTTTGGCATGTCAAAGAATATTTATGCTTATCCCTTGTAGTTAATGGTACCCTGGGATTCAGTAACTTATTAAATTATACATTCTATATTTTATTTGAAATTTGAATTCATACATAGAATGGCTCTAAACATATTCTAGTTGCTTAATGTGGGGCACTGAGACTGCATCATACCGCTTTGTAAAATTCCTCAGAGTTCTTTAGCATTTCCTCGTGCATGTCCCATGAATCATTGTCATTTGGGCTAGTGAGGCAAAACTGTTCCACTTTCTCAAATTGGTGAACTCGGAATATTCCTAGAGTATCTCGACCATGAGATCCAGCTTCTTTACGAAAGCATGACGAATATCCAGCATATCTGCAGAAAACATATTTCCCAAGTTAAAGGCAACATAGGCTTCCATGTTCCATCATTAATAATACATGCATCATCTAATTCATATTACCTTAGTGGTAGCTGGGTAGGGTGGATCCAATCATCTAAATGATACGCACAAAGTGGCTGTTCTGCTGTTGCAATCAGATATTTGTCATCTCCTTCACCAGTTACCTAACATAGTAACCCCTTAGATATGCTCAGAGAAAAAGACTATGGTGGCATTTAAGTGGTTATTCATTTTTCATTTACCTAACAAAATAATTACAAAAACAACACAGTAATTTTCCTGTGATTCCTGCTTTCAAAGTTTTGTGAAAAAAATGGAGAAAACAAAAAATGTTTTCAACATTTCCTTAACAAAACTTTAAAATGAAAACATGGTAGCATTTCTGTCATTATAAATGAAAACATATCAAGTGAATATGACAGGAGCAAACAGACCAAACAACCTGAGAGCATTAATAGCTTTGAATGACACACTACAATAATGCTATTGGCAGTTTGGCATTAAAAGCTTATACATATTAATGAGCAAAGCACATATTTACTTGTGAAAGAATATAAACTACATACAGAAGCATCACTAATATGAACAACCAATGACAACCATGGAATCTTTTTAAGAATTTTACCTTATAAAGTTCCTCATCAAATTGGGCTAATTGAGCACATTTTGACATTATGTCTTTTCTCATGAAGAAAGGAGTATGCAATAGAGTATATTCCCTTTTCTCCAAAAAATCAAGCCCAAAGTTGATTAGAGCTTGATTAAGACGAACGCCATCTCCTTTGAGATAGAAACCTCTACCTCCAGCTACATCAGCTCCTATTATGCATCAAGCAACTTGACATAAAAGATTAGGATACATTTAGAGAAGGTGGTAACAGAAATGCCGAGAATATTGAAATACTTGGCTAGCACAGCTAAAATCTACCAGCATTCCACGCACTTGATTGGTGATTAACACAAAAGGCCTTGAGTGGTAGATGACAAATACAGTGAAAATCAAAATGCAAAATGACTTGGAAGAAGAAACTTGTATTCCACAGTATTAGATTCTTGTGCCACACATGAAATGACATTACAAATCAAAATACTCAACACTGTTTGCAACCTAGATAACTTTGCAGCAGAAAGACACTACGCAAAACATGTACTAGTGCCAATATATGAAGTGGTTCAGGCTGAAGAAGAGGAAAGGAGAATGCTAGGTGAAAGAAAACAGCCTTTATTTTAATTACAAGAACAAGAGAATGGCAACATCCTGACCCAAATCAAATGCCTGAATACAACACGGTAAATAAGTCACAACACAAAATTTTAATTATTAAAAGTCAGATCCCAAGCTCTCACACCCCAAAGAAGAAATGAAATAAATAAATCGCGTGTTGAATAGTACATGAATAAATTCAGACCTTTCTTTGTATCTGCTATCCCGAGAAGCTCAACTAGATCCACATGATTCTTTAGTTTAGGCTCCACTCTTTTCTCTCCCCACGATCTAACCACAGCGTTGTTAGCCTAATGCATAGAAGAACCCGTGATTTTTAAGACTAGCATTAAGCATTTGCAAGAGTAAAAGAAAACAACTAATAATAATAATAAAAAGAAAAAACCTCATCGTCACTGATTGGAACGGTATCATGGACAAGGTTTCCAATTGTTTCCAATTTAGAATTCAATATTTTCTGAGTTTCCCTAACTTCAACCTCTTTCGCCGCTATCGATTTCTTGGTCTCCTCTGATTCACTAATCAACTTAGCTGCATCCTCACCAGCCTAACACGCACAAATAACATTCAGATACGAATTGATTCAGAAATTGCTTATTTATTAGGAGAAAATATTAGAACAGGGAAAATGAAGACACTTACACGCTTGAGTTTGGAGACTTCCTTATTGATCTTGTTAAATTCTTTGCGTAGATTCTCCAATTCGAATTGACCTGAAAAAGCATGCAAAATAGATAGCAATGAAGCGAGAATGGTTGATTACAGTGTTACATGCAGTGGAGAGAGAGAGTGTACGCTTTCGCCATTCTTTGTCGAGATTGATGACCTCGTCGACGAGTTCAACGCTGGCAAAACGACGGCGTTGAGATTCGCGAATGATTTCAGGGTTGTGGCCCTTTTCTTCTCTGAATAGATTGATGTCCAACATGCTTCTCACGCCGCCTGGAAACCTCACACTCACAATCAACGAATGTAAGAATGAGGTGCAAGAAGAGGGTTTTGGAATTTAAAAGGGTTTTTTTTTTTTTTTTTTGACTTTTCCTTTTTTAGCACGGGCAAATAAATATTTTTACGGCTGAACTATTTTCGTTAATGAAATTTGACTTGGCTATCTGGTTCAAGCAATTAGAAAAATTTAGTACCATTACTGGAAATAAAAATTAGATGAAAATTGTGAAATATTATATTTTTGTGCAGCTGGGTATATTATAAAATGAAATACTTAATTAAATTATACGGTCGTATACAAATATTTTTATAATAATTAATTTATTTGGTTTAGACTCCAATTTAATTTTTTATGTATTTAATATAATTATATTTACTGAAACTTAAACTCAAGCTCATGTGTTAAACTAAAATAATTTTTTTACTAGATGATTCACGTAATGACTAGTTTAGTAGTTATGTAATATACATATATTTATTTTAATATATACATATATATCTAATAGAATATAAATTTTATAGATACAAAATATTAGAATATATTAAAAACATTGCAAAATGTACAAGTTGAAAAATTTATATGATTATAAAGTTAATTAAATATAATATATTAATAAAACTATATTAAATACCATATATATTTCAATAAAAGTATAATTTATATATATAATTTATATTTTATTGTTCAAAATTTTAAAAATATTATGTTAGTTCTTAAATTTTATCTTTGTCTATTATTTTAGTTCCTTAAGTCATATACGGTTAATATTACAATAATTAAAGATTGTGACATATATGATTAATTACGTGGTAAAAATAACGTTATATATAACGTGATATAATTATTTTAGATATTTTAGCTGTAACATCTTAAATCTCTATTATTTTTATTTGATGAGAAATTGTATTAATTAAATTGAATTGTAAGTAGAAAATAGATAAAAATTTAGACATTAGAATAAAATTAGTAAAATTGGCCAAAAAACTAAACCTAATCAAAGAAAGATTTTGAGATGCAAACATAGTTTAATTTAGTTAGAAGTGACAATTATTTGATTCTTAATTATAAAAAATAAGATATAATAAGATTATAATTAGATATGAAAGGACAAAAATAAGAATTAAAAAACAAGTTACTAAACTACTTATAAATAAGGAAAATAACACAAAGTAAGTCTAGAGTGTTTACCCTTCTGTGTAAGTTCATGACGAGATAAAAGTCTAGAATTTTTATGATATATAACTTAGTGAACGAGCATGTTACACGTGCAAGAGGGAGCAATCTAACAAAAGGGGAGGTGTGGATTTGCCAAAATATGATAAAAATAACAAAAAATTACCAAAATAAGGTATCCACAAAACATTTCTCCTTTCTAAAGTATTTTTTGTCATGTCACTTTCAATGTTCCTTACAGGGTCGACAACTTTTTATTATTAAAAAAATAAAGTTAATATTCCTAAGCATCATAGTCTCTGTAATTATTTGGAAACCAAGGTTTCTAAAGGAACCTATGCATCCAATCATGAAGAGACATTAAAAAAAAAACTCATTACACACATTAGCAAGAATCATTCAAACCCAAATTGCAACAACTAGTCCACAATCTCATAAAACATGGATGATAGTACATTCCAAGATGCAGAACCTGCACCTTGCATTACCAAGCAAGCAATCGCATAGGCCTGACAAGAGGGAAGTCTTGCAATGTTGGAGTGTAACATTCCTGTTTTTATATTAATTAAAATTACATGTAAGGGTATGTTGTGAGAGGTTTAAGGTGTTAGAACTGTAACGCTATCGCTGTAGCGAGAATAAGGCGGTAAAAATGGAACATTCTGAAGCACTCTCGCTATAGCGAGAAATGACTCGTAGCGAAAAGTGCAGAAAATAAACTAATTTTGTCTGATATTTTTGTTTTAGCAAGAAAGCACCTCGCTGTAGCTAGAAATGACTCGTTGTAGTGAGAATGTCGCAATTCTAAGGGTATTTAAGGGCTTTTCTGCATGAAAAATTATATTTTCCTACCATTTCACATTCTCTCAACTTTCACCCCTCCTTTTTAGATAAAACTCCTCAAAATCTTGATTGTTCTTCAAATTTAAGATTGTAGAATCATTTTACACGATTCTAAGTTTCTCTGAGTTTAATCGTGTTTTTACCGTTCGTTTTCTTTGAATCTTGTTCTTAAGGAACAAATTTGTGTTATCTAGGTAAAAGTGCTATTTTAGGACATTCATCATCATCAATCTTCGTTTAGATCTTTATTATAAGGTAAAGAGAGCTTTATTCTATCATTGTATGATGTAAGTTATATGTTAAGTTCAGGAGAGCATGTTAATGTAGCAATTTTGATAAGGTATGTATGAATAATGAGTATTAATGAAGAAAGATTGCTAATATGCATATGTTTAATGGTTTGGTTAACTGATTATACTGTGTAAATATAAAATATATGATGAAAGAACATAATATTATAGTTGAAAAAGTTTGATGAATGTACTTGATATGATATGACCTTATTGCTAAGATATGTCTGAAAATGATGAACATGTCATCGATGATTTGTTGAATGATATAATTATTGAGATCATGAGTTAGTGATGAGCAATATGGAATTAGTCTGAAAGTGCTATTAAGCACAATTTTATGATTGGATTATGGCATGAATATGAATACTGAATGGATTGCTGTAAATAGTTACAGAGATATTGGAAGTGTTATAATTATGCAGTTCCTTTTGATTTTCCAACCAGTGGTCAAATTCATCAGTCTCTCAGTTTTTATCTATACCAAGGAATAAAAAGGCCCTCTTGGATCATGAATAATGTATTTAATTATCATGATTATGATTCGCTATGAAGGTTTAATAGCTACACATTTGAGAAATTCTCTAGTATAGAATTGGTGGCAGACTCTAGTGACGCCTACTTTGGAGAGGATGATGAATTAACCGCTGGAGACTTGGCGGAGATTGAGGGCTGGTGTGATATAAATGATTAGTTTCAGGTCCTCAGTATGTGGAAAGAAGTATGAACAGCTGTAAATTTTGATATGTTTTGGATAAGGATATGTAAATATTAACTGGTGCCTAAATTCATCGTTATGAAAGGCTTTATCTCTAGCAATTTTGACTAATTGCTATAAGGAAAAGTTGGTTATTCTTTCTAAAATTTTATAAAATTAATATATTTATGAAGAAGAAATGTAGGATGTTAATTGGTATCATATTAGTTCATCCAGACCAGACTAAGGTATGGGACTAGTTCGCTTGTGTTGTGTACTTATAAGTTCTTATTTTACTAGAATGTGAAGTGAATGTTTGTTAGTAGAATTTGTTGAAAGTGAATTATGTGATTAATTTGAGCTAAGTATATTCCTGTATATACGAATAATACGCTGATAAGTTATTTGGTTCCTTTCAAGATTAGAGATATAGCTAGTAAAGGTAGACATGTTGGTGCAACAAACGAGCACCTAGCACGCATGACTCAAGTCTTAAAAACTATTGAGGGCTTTCCTCATTCATCAAACACAACCCTTCGAAGTTTGAAGAGAAATTTAACCTAGAAGGGGCCCAAAGATGGATAGTCGACATTGAGAAGATTTTCAATGCCATGGGCTGTCATGAGGAGCACAAAATGGTCTATGCCACCTATATGTTGAATGAAGAAGCAGAGGACTGGTGGAAGTTTTCCAACTAGACTCCGCCACAAGAGGATGAAAAATATTTCTTGGGAAGCATTTAAGGCAAGCTTCCTATGAAATTATTTTTCCAGAGATTTAAAGAAATAGAAGCCAAAAAATTTCTTGAACTAAAACAAGGAAGTATGTCTGTAGGAGAATATGCTGCAAAATTTCATGAGCTTATGAAATATTAGCCTCACTTTCAGCATGAAGATGAAGACAAGAATTTATGTGTTTAGTTTGAACATAGACTGAGACCTGATATTCGGGCAGCAATTAGTGTATTTTAACTAACTGACCTGCCAACTTTAGTTAGCAAGTGTAGAATTTTTGATGCAAATTCTAAAGGAAAGATGATGGATACAAGGGTTGGAGGCCTAATGAGGCAAGACCGGAGACTTCCAAGGTTCCAAAGGGGACCTTACTCTAGAGTCAGTCAGTCCCCATCAAGAGGGACTGCATCCCGAATAAGCAGCAGTGGTGGTTTCAATGTCCTAAGAGGTCTAGTTAAATATTTTAGATGTAGAGGACCTTATATTGTATGGAACTGTCCACAACCACCATTTGCCTGTAGTATTTGTGGGAGGATGGGACATTTTGCAAATACTTGCTGGTCTGCTCCTCAAAGAAATGGAAGTAACATATCTAATCTAGAGGTAGTAGTGGAGCAAAACCAACCACACAGGGCAAAGTGTTTGCTATGAGTGGAGCTGAGACATCAAAGTCAGATGAACTCATCCGAGGTAAATATAAAATAAAGGATAGACTTTTGAATGCTTTGTTTGATTCTGGTGCTACACATTCATTTATTTCTGTGGATTGAGTGAAAAGTCTTGGTTTGACTCTGTCTTCAATGTTATATGAGGTTGTTGTATCCACTCTTATGGATAAGTCCGTAGTCACCTCTTCTATGTGTTTAGGCTATTCTGTAATGATTCATGGTAGGACTTTTGAAGTAGATCTGATTTGTTTACCATTATCTCAACTGGATGTTGTTCTGAGAATGAATTGGTTGTCGTCCAATCATGTCTTATTAAAATGTAAAGGGAAAATTTTGATATTTGATAAACGATGCCGAAGTGCTATCAAAACAACTTAATTTTATTAAAGATTTTGTAATATAGAGCCAAACCTAAGTCGATTCACGGAGACACATTCTCAATCAAATTCAATTTTAGATTTTCTTTCAAAAATACAAATAAAGTTTTTGAGGTTTTGAAAATTGTAAATAAATTGAATTAAATTACGAACATAATAAAATTGAGTAAAAATGAATTAAGAAACATTAATCCACAAAATACCAAATGCATATAACTCTGGCTATCACAGTATCTAAAGATT